GTCGGACTCGCTGTATTCTCCGGTGCCGACACTGAGCACTTGCAGCTCCGGCACCACCCGGCGTGGCACTATGCAGCGTAGCGGCCTCTCTTCTGGAGCAGGCCTGGGCCAAAATAGCAGGTTGGGCGTGAGGCGCTTTGAGAGGGGCGTGGGGAGCTCGCGGGGTGCGACAGGCCCACGTCAAGGTCCATTGGCAGAAGCACGGGCCGAGCCTGGGGTGCCCCGACAGGTGTGTGGGGAGCCAAGGTCAGGACAACCAGCCCAGGGTAGGGGGAAAGTGGAGATTGGCAAGGCGTAGATGGGGGGGCATGAGTGCCTGCCTTGGTCACTAGCAGTTCTCTTTGTGCCCCTATCTGCGAGCTGTTCTAGTCTGTCGTTCTTCAAGGGCCCGTCCCATGCTCCTAGAAGGCCGTACGTGTGTGACACGGCTGCACTGTCCCGGGCGAGGTACCAGCCTAGGGTGATTTCTCCTTGGGTACTGCTCCTCTTCCGCGCACGGGGCAGGCGACCTGGAGATGCTGGCATCCTGGGTGGTATCCCGTCTGCCTGGGCACGGGTCTGGGGAATGAGGCTGTGCTGAGAAACCTGCAAGGCCCAGCACTGGGGGAGGCGGGCGGAAGAGTGTGGCTCTTGCGATTACTCTGGACTCTTCTGCCTTTTAAGTCGAGTTGACGTATGAATAGTTTTCAAAGTCAGCCCAAGGCCGTGTTAAGGAGGTCATGGCGGAGCCTAACTTCCACTTTATTGCTATCTTAATTAAAAGAACCATTCCAGAAGGACAAAGGATAAGCCACCAAGCCGTGCTGGTTGCTTTGCTGCTCTTTTAATTGAAGAATCGTTCCAGCAGGGACCTGCTTTGGGGTTTTGTCAGGTTTTTTTTAGACGGGTGTTTTGCATAAAATAACATCCCCCAGCTCCCTGGGTTTTCGAGCTGTGAAACTCCTGGCTTGTGCGGCAGCCTTGGGCAGTTTGTCTTTTTATTGCCATGGTGTTAAAAGGCAACGGAAAGAGGAGTGGGGAGATGGCAGCCAAATGTTACCTCGCTATATAAAGGCCTGGTGGGAAAGCTGTAAAGGGGAGTGGGTTTGTCCGCTGGGGGCCTGCTTTGCAGGATGTGACGTTCCCCCTGCGAGAGGGAGAGGGACCCAGCGCTTAATAGCACACTAATGCGTAAACTTCTCCCTGAGCGCCAAGGAGGGGCTTGGTGACTCCACCGGTTCCTTCTACTGCTGCCAAACCTGGGTGAATAAAGGCAGTGTTAGCTCCCTGTCCCCACCGGCAGCAGGGAGGGGGGAAGAGCCGCAGGCTGGCTCTTCCCGGAGATGATGTGAGCGCTGACCCATGGGAGAACTAGTGATGGAAGCATCAGCCTAGGCTGGGATAAGGTGAGGCTCGCCTCATGTAGCCGGGCACTGCCCGGCGCTGCTGTAGTCGGTGTAGCTGTCTCTTGCCTCATTCTCTTCACCAGCTGGGCATGGAACCCGGGTCTCCTGAGTCCCAGTCCAGGACTCCAGAGGTCACGTCGCCACTTCTGCTTTCTAATGACTCCTGGCCTCCCTGACTCTGGCTGTGGGGGCATCTGGGCCAGCTTCCCGGCCGCTCCTGTGAGAAGCAGTGGGAAGCCCATTGAGTCTAATCATGACCGAGCGAACTGTGCTCTGCCCCAGCGTCACTGATGCTCGGGAGTTTATCACTGAGTGTTTTTCTTAGAGCCCCGGCGTGAGATGCCAGGAGAATTTTGGCTTTCATATACACTTTTTTTTTCTTTTTTTAAATAACAAGTTTCTTGCTTTCAGTGTTGTGGTGAAAAGCTTGGTTGAAAAGGTGACCCCGAGAAGCTTAAAAGGCAGAAGCCAAATAACCAGATCCCAAATTCATTCATTTCTTTTAAATGTCCTGGTTTGGGGGGACACTGGCTCATGAGTGGGGCCCTAGCCATGCTGCCGACCACGGGGCTTTCTCCGTTTCTACACTCCGATGCCGTGCCCCATGCTCCCCCGAAGGATGGCCGCTAAAAGGTGCGGGAGCACGGCCAGCATTAACAACTCGCATTGAGGGATTCATTTCGCTTCGTGTCCTTCAAGTATTCGGGGCCCAGCTCCCCGCCCCTGGGGCGACACCAGCCGCTTGGGCCACTGGTTTCAAGGGTTCTTGATCCTGAGCCAGATGGTCTTTGCTGTACGAGGGACAGGTCTCCGAGGCAGGGCAGCGGAGGGCTGTCACCCTTTTAAGAAGAATAGTGGGGCCAGGCGCTGTGTCACAATGTGACCCTCGCTGGAGGAAGTGGCCGTGTCCTTGGTCAGTGCGTCTCGCTCTGTGCTCCAAAGAGACTTGCTGTGGAGAGGAGGAGGGACAGCCATTCTCCCTCTGCCCTCTATTCTGGGACCTGGAGCCCTGCAGCTGGTGACAAGGAAACGGCCCATGTCACAAGGCCAACATGGACCTTTTCTGTTTTGAGAGGCCACCATGCGCTCGCAGAGATGCTTGAGCTGCCCCCCCCCCCCTCCATTTACAACCCGGGGGGCTGGTGACCAAGCCTGGTGACCATGGGTGTAGAACACGCCCCCCCCCCCCCCCCCCCCCATGCATCAAGGGGTCTCTGTTTGCACGGCTCTGTGGAGGGTAGATGTGGGCTTCAGTTCGTGGCGGAGGGGGTGTGCAGGGCCGGCACAACCCATTAGGCGACCTAGGCGGTCGCCTAGGGCACTAACATTTGGGGGGCGGTGGCCGGGTCCTTCAGCCGCCCCGGTCATCGGTGGTATTTCGGGGGCAGGACCTTCCGCTGCCTAGGGCGGCAAAAAAGCTGGCAGCGCTCCTGGGGGTGTGGTGACTGGGCTGGGGGTTGGCACTGTCAGGGTGGGGGCACAAGCTCGGCTGAATTTTAACCTTGTAAGGGGTGCTGGGGTGCCGAGTGCTCAGGACAGGCCAGAGTACCAGCAAATGGGTTAAAACTACAGTAAACAGAATTATCAGATGCGTTGGAAGAGTCAACACAGCTTTTCTAAAAGGAAATCATGCCTCACCAATCTATTAGAATTCTTTGAGGGAGTCGTAAAGCATGTGGACAAAGGTGATCCCGTGGATAGTGTACTTGGACTTTCACAAAGCCTTTGACAAGGTCACACACTTATTCCTGCTGGAATTCTGCACCACTGTGCAAGGCAGAATTTGCGCAGAATTAATGTTCCCTGCAAAAATTTATTTTTGCCACGCAGATTTGATTATCGTGATTAGCAGCACTATAAACACACACGGTGCTTTGCTGGCATGCATGGGACCTGTCCTCAGTCTGAACAAAGCCAGACTAGTCCAAAACTGCAGTGCAGGCTGGGAAGAGAGGGAGGGTATTACCAAGCAGGGTGGGGGGTGTCTCAGCAGTGTGGGGGGCTATACAGAGCCTGGGTCATGGCTGTTCAAACCTTTGATTAGTCCCTTGGGTCCAAATGCCATCCAGATACTGCATCCAGTGTCGCAGTGACGAGCGCGGTACAAGAACCATAGAGGAGAGAGGAGCACACAGTTGTTTTTTTCCCCGTGGTGTCTTTCATGCCAAGCATTGCTTTGGATTTGGTCTCTGCTAGGAGACTGGCCTGTCACACTGAACAAGTGGTAGCAGCAGAGACTAGTGCAGAGGGGCCCTTGTGTCTTGCTGTCTGTGCTACAGCTCCCCACGCTGCTGTCACCGGCTTCTCCGTTCCTGGGGTTGCCTCGCCAAGGCCGTCCAGCTGGAGCAGGGACTGCCGGAGCACTGGCCGCAGGGACTGCGTCCCCCAGGACGGATGTGCCATTGCGGCCCGGGGGGGGGGGGGGGGGGGGGGGGGGATTAGGCAGCACCGGCTCAGTGCAGTGGTTGTGCCCTGCTGGCATTGCCTTGGCAGAGCTGCGCACACACAGTCTTGCCTGGGCACAGCTGGTGGGACCAGGGCCTCAGGTACAGACAGGGGTGCATTAAAGGGCTGTCCTGTGTTCGCCTCTCCCCAAGGAGTCACCGGTGTCTCAATAGACTTGTTCCCAGTTGGCTGGGGGCAGGGCTGTTTGTTCCCCCATCTTCCACGGGGTATTTGGGATTGAACACAATCTGCCTGTGAGCTTGTCTGCCCGCTGAGCCATTCCCCGCTCCCTCTCCGAATTGGCAGCATGCGGGGTGGGTCAGTCACCTGCTCTGGGGGCGGACGTTTGCTCTCTGGCCAATGGGTCTGCAGGTTGTGGTGGGTGGGACAGTCAGTGGGCAGGTTCAGGTGGCTCCCTTCTAAGGAACAAGGCTTTGGTTTCCATCCAAACCTCCCCAGCTGTAATCAAAGGAGGCGCAGTCCAGGCCAGGGATTTAGCTGGGCTGAAGAGACAGCCCAAGGTGGTCTTATTTTTAGCTGGCATGAACCTGGGAAAATAATTGTCCTTGCAAAGCACTTGCGGCCTTTTCCTGGGGACCTTTAACCAGGTTATCTGGGCCTCCAGTTGACTAGCTGAGCCTGCTTCTGCTATGCACAAAGATCGTCCTTTAAAGACCAAGCAAGAGAGGCGCTGGGGCAGAATCTGGCAGTATGCAAATCCATCTAGCCATTACCAGGCGCTTTCATTTCTTATTCCTGTCTCTGTCACGGTGCGGGGGACGGGGAGGGTGAGCTGGATGAAGGGCAGGAGAACTCCTCACCAGCTGGCCCAAAAACGTAAAGAAACCAGCTAAATAATAAGCAGGAAAATAATCACTTTTAGCATCATTCTCCATTACGACCCCCAGCCTCCAGTTTTAATCAGAGGCGCCTGTGTTGCTTTAAGAGCTATGGGTTTTAAAGATCACAAGAGGGGTTAGAGAAAATTACCCTTGACTCTTACATGCTAATGTAATCTCTAACCAGATCTTCAGTACTGCAGCTAAAATTGCTTTTTAGATTAACATTTAATTATTAACAGGGCTCTCTGGAAGGCCTGGGGCTTGTGTGTGCGAGAGGGGGGAGAGCAGGGAGCTGGCGGCTCTGAATGTATTAGACAGGCCTGATGGAGACATTTGCAAGCCGAGAGGGGAAGGTCGCTGCGCGGCCGATGGTAACGCGCCGTGCTTTATTGCAGCCCTCGGCAAGGTGTCGTCAAACTTTCTTTTTGATTTTATCTTCTATTTCCCGTAATTTACCGAGGGGTGACCTTTCCCATGTTAACTCATTCCGGGACCAAACTGTCAGCTTTGCTAATTGACTAGCCTGCCCTTCTTCCGCACGCCTCCCTCCCCTTCCCTGCCAAGGGTGAGCATAAATTACCTGGGAACTTCCAGCCCAGAATATCTGGGAGAGAGGCTGCTCGGGAAGCCAGGCTTCCTCCACCGCCATCCCCAGCGCTGCCGGCACGTCTGTCCGTAGAGCAGGGCTGCTCTGAGCAGAGACAAGGGAGGGGTCTGAGTGCAGGCCTGGGAGCCTGGACTCGCAGTGACTCTTGATGGGGGCTTTCAGTCAGTCACTCAACTGCTCTGACTCTGTTTTCCCTTCTGTACAATGGCGATAATGTGTGACTTTGTACTGCAGTAAAGCCCAGAGACCCCATTGCGCTAGGTGCGGCACAAACGCAGCTTGTCCGTGCCGTCTAGGGGAGGGGATTTGGAGGCAGTTGGAAGGAGCTCTGTTCTGCCGTGGTGTATCTGGGGAAGTGCCACCTTTCAGTTCCTCTCAAAGTGGTTATTCTGCCTGATAGATCTCCGCTCTCTGGGCCGGCTCAGGCTTTGCTAGGGGAGCGCGTCGCCGTGTCAGCTGCCACCGGAGCTCAGCCAGCTGCAGTCACTGCCGTGCCGCTCGGCCGCAGGAGGAGCCTCTGCAAGCACCAAGAGGAGGCAGCTCTGGCCTCCCCCCACTGCCTCTCTCCTGCTGGGGGCGCCCCAGCCACCAGGGGCAGAGGTGGCTGGAGACAAGCTGTGGGTCTCTCCCCCTTCTCTGATCATTGCAGCAGTGCTGGCCCCACTCGGTGGGACAGGGCTAGGCAGTCTCCTCCCGCTAAGCACAGACCTGGCCTCATGGAGCGACCGAGCCTGCTGCTGGGCCTGGTGGGAACATGGATCCTCTTGGGGCCGAGCGTACAGCCAGCAGCTTGGCGCTGACGTCCTGCCAGCGGGCAGGGGAGGGATGGCTGGGAGGAAGGCCAGTGCAAGCGAAGGCTGGCTGGGTAGAACGTCCCTGCTCTCTGTGGCTGCAACGGCTGGTTTCTGCAGCCGCGTCCTCAGCTACGGGCCTGATTAAAGTGCTTGAAGATGTACATTGATTATGGAAAAGCGGCTTTGAGGAGGTGGCTTGGGCCTGGCACCTTTCTTGATGTTGTCCCACGTGTGAAGGGGGCGGCACCAAACGGGTCGAGGCCACCAGGCAATGCCATTTGAATCTCTCCATGCTCACCCAGTGCTGCTGGGCCGCTTCGGCGCCATTGCCACGGTAAGGTGTGCTGGGCCGTTCCCATGCTGCCACGGGCACTGTCCACCAGAAACCGAGGGACCGCTGGGACTTGGCAAACTGACTGCAGGAGAGGGGCAGGTGCCCAAAGGCCAGGGGAAATGGCTTCTTTAGGTCCCGTCCAAACAGCTGTTTTCAAACACATACATTTCCCTCCCCTGTTTGAAACCCAGACATTGGAACTCTGGTTATTATCTGTATTACCGTCGCCCCAAAAAGTCCCAATTGAGAGCCAGGCCCCATTGTGCCAGGCACTGCACCCTGAAGAGCCCACAGTCTAACGGGCCGGGTGGAGATTGGCAAGGGAAACCGAGTCACAGAGAGTGCTGCCCCTGAGCCACCCGTCGTGCGTGCAGGTGAACCTGACAGTAAGTAGAAGTGAATCGGCGGGCTCAGATTTCATTGTCCAAGCTGGGACGAACACAGGAAAGAAACCCCTAAAACTCCCCTCATAGCGAAAAGTAACCTGGGGTGCGGCCGTTCTTGCTGCTCTGCAAACAGCAGTACTGGGTTGTTGCTACTCTAGGGAAGGAGTTGTGCTTGTTTAAAACACCCTCTGAATTGAATGTGTCTCTTGAACGTTCTGGGCCTGGCTTGAATCAGCCAGAGCTGGCCTGTTCGATGGGGGATGCTTTGGTGCAGCGCCTTGGACATACTGACCCACGCTGTCGGTCGGTATAGTCAAGGCCTGTCTGTATCTTTACTAGCACCCTCCTGCAGCTTCACAGGATGCTGCCAAGAGCCCTTGGGTTCCATTTCCTCACCTTTGCTTCGACTCGGTTTCACTTTCGCATTCTTGCAGGTGAGCCTGATGCTGTTGTGTTTGTGGGTTCGTAATAATGCAGGGCCAAGCTTGGGAGTTACTTAAAATTGATATTTTTCTATCAGTTCCTGAAAATCTTTCTCTTCCTCTCGGCTTTGTAACCGCTCCTTTTATCTCTCCCAGTTCCCAGAATTCCCTTCTTTTCTGGAGCTTATCCCACCCCATCCCTGTGTTACTGGATCCCCTTCGCTGATCGCAGCCAAAACTGCCTTAGACTCGCCGGTCACAGACGCTGTACTAAACCCCGGTTAGACACTGCTGCTCAGTTCTGCCCCTGCTGTGCTGGTGGTGGTGCGTGCCAGGCGAACCCCCTGGGGCTGCCCGAGAGGGGGAGGCTGCTCATGTGGCTAACGCTCAGTCGGCCCTGTTGTAGGAGGGGGCAGTGCCATCGCTAGGTCCTTTCTGTACTGCAAAGCTGTGTCACCCGAGTGCTGGTCCACTCCCGTCACTGGAGTTTTAGCTGAAATCGGGGAGGGGGGAGCAGTTGGGGGAACATGCCTGTTCTCACCTGTAGCCTGGGCCACCTTGGAACGATCTATGCTTCCCTCCCCCCCCCCACCCCCCCAGCTTTATTAGCGTCTCAGCAAGGATGGCACAAATGATAAATTGGAGCCGGCCTTGCTGCAAAGATCTCCCCATTCTCTTCAGAACAAGAGGCCTGCTTCTAAAATCCCTTTTAGTCATTGTTCTCTCCAGGCGAGCGGCACAAACTCAATTCAGCCTTAGACTTTGAAAGTTCCTATTTCTCCCCCTCGTCACATTTTCTTTTATCTAAATCCTTGCCTATGAAAGCCTCTATCGACAGCTGCGCTGGCCTTATCTCGCAGAAGGGACCTTCGCTGAGGCTCTTGGAGGAGATAAGAAGGTCTTATCAGCCTCTGATGTCAGAGAAGGTGCCAAAGCATTCTGTCATTGGAGCTTTAGACATACGGTATTTTTTTTATTAAAGTCACAAAGACCTTGGGCTTATAAATAGTCTGATTTAGAGATACGGCTTCAAAATTAGCAGGCCCTGGAAAAAGGCTGTGGAATGGAGTTAATAAAGGAGGGGAGTGCCCCAGCCAAACATCCAGGGCAGCTTTTCAGAGCAGTAAATATAGAACGGAGACCCTGCTTTTTAGCTGAGGACGTTGGGTTTGCCTCTGGCAGCCTGGGCCCAGGAGGAAGATCCAGGCTCTCTTGGGATCGGGAGGAGGACATTTAAAGACCCAGCCTGCCGTCTGCTTTCTGCTGCACCTGTCCTGAACGGAATCTGCTGACAGCTCCGCTCCACTCTCGCCGTTTCTTCCTGGTGCGACTCCTGGAGAGTGATGTGGAGGGAAACGCGAATTGTCTCAATTCCTGGGCCAGTTCTGGTGCTGGAGAGACACACTGTGAAATGCCCAGGTCAGGAGGGCGCTGTTGCCTGCTGCCTAGCCAAGGAGGGGAATGTAGGGGCACTTTAGGAGTGCCTCAGTCATGAGGTGTTTTACAGTGGGGAGGAGCCAGGCAACTGTTAGGGGAATCGGGACCGAGCTGTGCCGTGCCGTGCTTTCGTCCCCACTTCTCATCCCATCAGTCTCCTTCCTTCCTCACGTGTTCTCCCTCATTTACTCCAAAGCAGACTGGTCTTGGGTGGGAAGTGATCAAACCTCATGCTCCAGGGTCTTGGCTAATTGCTGCAGGGGTCAGGAAGGGACACGTGCACACATAGCACTGCACAGGTAGCCAGGCAGAGGGAGGGGGCCTCTGCTTTCTGCTGAAGCGTCAGGTATTGTCCTCCGTCAGAGGCAGGATAGCAGCAGCGATTGATCCCTGTTCCCACAGGGAATGGCTGCTCTCTGCTCTTTAAGCTGTATCCGTGATGGAAGAGGATCATTCAGGGCCCAGCAGGAGCAGTTTGAGTCAAACAGGGAAAAAGGACAACTTCTTTGGTTATCCCAGAACAGCCACCTGCAGTAGCAGGAAGCCAGACGGTCTCTAAAACAGCTTATCCCCCCAGAAACCCTGCAGCTCCCAACGTGTGTGAGCCTGCACTTAGTGCCGCAAGCTGAGTTCCCCCCCTCGGCCACTCTCACGGGGCCCCTTAGGCCTTGTCTCTATGGGGGATGCCGCGGCTCCAGCCGTGCAAAGTCCTCGTGTGCACAGGGCTCTTTGCACCTGCTTGGAAGCAGCCCCAGCGCAGATCCCAGCTTGCGGGAGCGGTGCTGGTGTGCACGAATGGCTGAAAGCGCTAGTGTAGACCGGGCCTTCGTCTTGCATTGGTCCTTCCCCGCCAGCCTGTCCCCTCTCCAGAGCTAGGGGATGGTTGGGCTGCCAGTGCGGAGAGGGTTACAGACTAATAGGAAAGAGAGGGTTAAAATCTCCAGGTTCTCTCCCCCCCCCCCCCCCCCCCCCCCCCCCCCCCTGGGTGGGGGGGGGAAGGGGCTGTTGGCTTTTGTCAGTAATGAAGAGTGACGTGACCTTTCCTAATGCAACTTGTCAGAGTGATTCCCGGTACGGGGGCGGGGATCTGCACTGACAGCACCTGCTACCGCAGCCTCTGCTCAGCATGTCCTCCTTCGCCAGGGGAAACCCCATTCCTCCGGCGGGGTGGGGCTTGTGACTCTGAACAGGATGAGAAGAGCAGCCTTGTGGGCCCTGCTGTGGGAAGGAGAAGGCCCTCCCCCTGGAGCGTGCGGCACAGGAGAACGGCAGTCCACTCCCAGTGAACGGTAGGGGCCTAAATCAGCTCAGAGGGTGATGCTGCTCAGATGCTCCTTTAATTCTTGCCCTGCGGCACAGCTAGGCAAGAGCAGACACCTGCTATCGGGAGGGCTACGCCTGCCTCTCCGGGTGCAAGGTTAACACA